GTATTGGACTACCTTCGTTAGCACCCAAGCCAACTGATTGTATTGGCATAGAATCTCCATTTGGGATCTTACCCTGCAGCGGAACACTAGTGACTCTAATTAGACCAGTACGCTCCTCTAAAGCAGAGGCAAGATTTTCTTCCACGTCGATTTCCGATGGACTTCTGTCGACCTTTTCGAAATGTTCATTTGCCAACTCTTTCGTAAGAGTTTCCAATTCTTCTTGAATCCGAAGATTTGTTTCAGCCACCATAGAGTCTTGCTCTTGGAATTCTGAATGGTCTACGCTATCTTCTAACCGTTCAATATTTATATTATCGGTGTTGGAAGTTGTTTGAATGTCGCGATCTATTTGGGTAGCTGTCGTTGCGGTGGGTGTCACAAATTCTGTGAGCTTCAATATTTCATTTTCTTTTTGGCTGCTTTCTTCACTTGCAGCCACAGCTTCTCGTACAGGTCTCAAAGTACTTGGATTCGCAAATGAAAGTGAGCTTGATAATTTTATGAAATCGCCACTGCTTTGACTCAATGTAGACGTTTCAATTTCATCTTCCCTAGACAACTCTGTGTGTGGCGCATCTTCATTCCGATTAGGATTCTCAATGTTGAGCAGCTCATGCGAAGTTCTTGTTTGAATCATTTCCTCTCTGGAGCTAGTAGTAAGTTGAGATTCTATAGACTCTACCTGCCCAACGTGTGCTTCTTCAAAGCTCTCATCAATTATTTTTCGGTTATGACTCTCGTGTTTGATAGTATTCGGTTCGGTGGATGTAGGCGGACTCAAGAAATTATTCGAATTCAAATCAGAAGAAAATCTTTCGGTTGTGGCGTGAAATTTCGTGCTAGCCTCATCTTCAATAGGTGTTATTGCATGGGTTTCAGTATTTGCCGTGAGGCTCTGTTGGTTCTGATTGAGATTTTCTATACCGATATGCTTAGCGGGGATCTGTCGGATGCCCATTACTATCTCATTCCATGAATCATCTTTGTGGCTCTTTACAGCGACCGCTTTCACCACTCTTACTTGAGTATGTTCTATCGACTCACTTTCTAGTGAGCTCGAGTCGTCGCTGTTGTCGAGAGTCGAAGTGACTTTTTCCATAATTTGCTGAGAATTACTGGGTGCTTGGGGATTTTCTAAGCTGAAATCGTGGTTTTCAACATTGGACCCCATCTCGATTCGCTGTGTTCTTGCCTGGCTCTCATTAATTGGAGGATCTATGTGAGGTAACTCATGTTCTCGCCTGAATAGCTCTGTTGCAGTGGAATTGGGTAGAGTTCTGTCTATGAGCGTTGCGTCGATTTCCTTGGCATTGGTCGCAATTGCACCATTTTCTTCAGTTTTTGAATTTAATTCAGTGCCCGAAATGTTGGGCTCTTCTGCAGCTTCGGGACTACTTTCACCACTTAATGCATCGAGTGAGCTTTTACTCTCAACTCTTTCAAGATTGGACTGTTCATGAAATACTGACGAACTCGTTGCAATTCCATCGGCCTCTGTTGTGGAACTAACCTCATCGCCAGTATTTATTGATTCACTAGTACTTTCTCTTAACCATTCCATCTTTTCTATTAATCCTTTTTCAGTGCTAACATCCGTTAAAGGCATCTTCATAGATTCTTGAGTGTGCTCTTGATTGACACTTGTGATCATATTTTCTTCATGTTTACCAAAGGATCTTTTGTTTGTAGAAATTTTGAATTTATCGGATTCAAGGGCCATTTCAAAACTCTCTTCAACTGTACCCAACGTTTGTCGTATAGCGCTCGGAGTTCTTGCTTTACCAGCGGGTGAGGTTCTAAGCTCAGTAACAGTTACCTTGTTCCTTGGTAGTGTGTTGGTCGTTTGATTTAGCTCTTGAACTTCTCTACTCGTTTTGGAGTGATCATGTAATTCGAGATTTGTTATAGATTCTTCTCCTTTTTCTTCTAATTTCTTTGAATGCGAGGTGGTATGGAGGTCTTTAGTGACTGGCGCTTGTTTGCTCACGACCGTCTCCTCACTTGTTGTAGTCGTCTTTTGACTTGTGGATAATACTTCATTGTACTCCATATCGTCCTCATAATAACTGACATCTGAACTACCTTTATGCATCCGTATTTCATTTACTACGTCATCCATGTCTTCAATTTCTAGCGCGTCATTTGGCAAAACGTCTTGATTTCTTGCCCCGCCCAATTGCTTTGCACTTTCCGGGACCTTTTGTGTAACGCCTGTTGAAGTAATTGGCGAAAGCTCTGTTATTTTGATTCCTACTTCTTCCGTGAATTTGTCTTTCAATGCGTTTTCCGTTGTTGCCAAATCAGAATCATACTCATCGGAATATACCACATTTTCAACTTCCTGCGAAGTTAAATCAGTGTAGTCTGCATTGTCATTATTTCTCTGTTCTATGACTGATTCGGCTGGTGTATGGGATCTTATGCTTCTGATCTCATTTGTGATTGGATTATTTATGTTTGTGTTGGTGTTGGGTATTTCTGATAGATTTATTGTATTTTGTATAAAATCTGTGGAATATTTCCGTTTGAGAAAGTGAGAGTGTTAATGCTTTTAGTATGGAAACTGTTTAAATTTTAAAGATACCTGATTTCGACTTAAGTACTATGTATTAAAATCAAAATCCCATTGTGAATACGCCCTGTGAGAGTTGGGAAGATCTACGTCCCTGTAGTGGTGGTTTTTTTTTTACCTATGAAGCCTAAAAGTTCAATGGTTTTTTAAAGGACTAAGAACGAATGAACTGTGAAAGTGTGTAAAATAGGAAACTAAAAGACTTTTCAAGCCGCATAAAGTGGTACTAAGTAAAATTATATGATTATGCCAAAATATTCGAGGAACTGCTTGGGAAAATCTTTTCGCGACTCAATGAAGCAGCCATAAGACGAAACGGCTTAGGTTAACCCCTATTCAGTCTATACATGTTCAACATGTTTTATAATGTATAACGATTTGTTGAAGAAATTTGATGTATTGATGTCCATGCATCGAATCGATTGACCGATATGATCTGGGAGGAAATTTCCAAGAATTTAGATGCGGACAAAGTTATCCCACATTAAAGGCTGTGTCGCAAAAATTCACAAACCTAACTATTTTCTGTAGAAAAACGCGTTTGAAGCATAAAAAGCTTGAAGGCAGATATTACCGTCGCTCCGAGATACCCCAAAGAAAGACGCAAATGTACTGAATAGACCAGAATGGGAGCTAATCAAAAATCAGCAACCGGAACTATGGCGTTATAGAAGGTACTTACTACAAGAATCCATTTCAAAATAAAAGTAACTCACCAGCGAAGTTCAAATGCCCCTCAATTGGATTATTGTACATAATCTAAAATGATAATCACATACCCGTGGATGCTGCAGTACTTCTGGTACTTGTGGTTCTAGGTATAGCCGTCGTTGTTGTAGTAGTTTGTGCCGAAGCGCTTGTAGTTTCTCCTGTTGGTGATGAGGATGTTATAGGAGGCATCGTTGTGGTCGAAGAACTTAAAGTAGAATCAGTTAACATTGCACTGTTTGTAGCAGAAACAGGCTCTGATGAAGCTGTAGACGTTGTAGAACCAGGTTGAAGACTACTTGCTGCTGTGGCCATATCCGCAGTAGCTGTGGGCATTGGATTGTTCGTGGCTGGGTTTGTGGGTAAAGCCGTTATTGTAGTGGTAGCTGATGAGGGTGACAAGGATGAGGCAGGATCAATTGATGTTGAGGTAGGATTGGTAGAAATTGTTGATGCTGAATTTGAAGGGGACGAAGATGTTGGGTCTGTAGACATTGACGGTGACGATGTCGAAGAAGTTTCTGCAGATAATGATGTTGAAGTCGGTGAGATATTTGGTGTAGAGGTCTCGGTTTCTGCAGAGGTGACCGTGGAGGAGGATGTTGACACTGGACCTTCAGTGGAAATTTCATCAGTGGAGGAACTTGGTGGTTCTCTTGTTAACAGATCGGGTAATAATGATGGTTGTGGCTTGATAAAGGCAAGAGTTCGTGGAGCAGTTTCTTCGCTTGAAGATGTTTCCATCGAGCTTGCCGCTGCTTCTGTTGTTGTTGAAGGCGCTGTTGTTGAAGTAGCAGTTGTCGTTGCAGCGATTGTCGTTGCGCCAGATGTTGGTTCCGTCGCCGTTGGTGATGAAGCTGTTGAAAGAGTGGTTGAGGAACTAGTAGCGGGAGATGTTTGCGATGTACTTTGCTCAGCAGGAGTTGTTGGCAATGCAGTAATTATAGTAAGATCAGCTGATGACGCTGTTGGTGAAGAAGCAGCCGTTGGTATAACAGTTGTCATCGACGTTGTTGAGGGAGAGCCAATTGTCGTCGGCGTAGCAGAAACTGATGTAGACAATGTAGAATCGATCACTGGGGATTGTGTATAGTATAAAGCTTCAGTTGAATCTACTCTAGAGCCGTAGGTATCTGAATGGATGGAATGAAAAAGGAAGAACAAAAAATTACATAACGAAGGCATGCACCTTATCATCAAATATATGTACCCTCTTTGGAGCATGACATTGAATACTCAGCTGGATATTCGCTATCTTCCAGCGAATCTAAAGCATAATGGGGTGGATATATGACCGGTAAGTGGAGCAATGGTGGCGGTCTGGGATATACTAACTCTGATAGTTGTATGGAATCACAGGCAACTTCGTATTGCGGCCGACACACTTGTCGGGCTGTGTCGAAGAATGTGAGATCAGGACATCTGAAAATTAGAATAAGAAAATATATTTTTTGCTTCTGCTTGCGTACTCCGAAATCACAAACTTGAAGCGTGTTTGTAAGTAGATCCCCTTCGATTGCATGACACACGTGTAGTAGAGCGAACAATCAGTGGGCGCACGGAAAGTGCCATCCTGCAGACATGGTGGGAATTTATGCTCACAATCTTGTGGTATATGCGAACCATGCGTAGACACTTCTGTCGGATTGCACTGTGCACCACAGATACACTTGGCTTCGCGTGGCGAAAATACCGTATTTCGTGGACAAGCGTAGATACGTGGCTTTAGTTGTGCATCACATCTGTAGTATGTAGTACAGTCTGATAAAATAGGAAAACGACCGGGCTTCGTGCAAACTGGCGTGAACTCTGGTGTGGGATAGGGACTACATTGACCTTTGGTGCCATCGAAAAACTAAAAAAAAAGGGAATAAGAAAATTAAACGGTGAAATTTAAAGGCAATCATAATTTTGGTGTTTACCTGTAAATTTTGGCATCTTCCAAAAATCACGCAATCTGGCTTGCAAACATAGTAGTATTGGCGCTGATTAGGATGCGGTTTGATGCCAAAAAACCCACCGGAACAACGCTTATGCTGCGAAGATGAAACATAAATGTAGTAAATATATATATATATGAATGACCCTTTAAAATATTAAAATATTTACTGCAGAATACATACATAGTCGACTAACACTGGTACTCCACCGCCTGGAAAGGAACGCAGTATGCCACGCTTGCTGTCATAAAAGGTGCCAGCTGGCTCAGGGGGCTGAAAAGGATATACATATAATTCCAAATACATATCCATACATATATAATTAGTTTAGACATATAATTTTGCAAGATTATGACAGTTTCAAAGTCAATATTTAGCTGAAAAGCAAAAAAATATATATATTTTATAAAAGATATCTTTAGCGTGTATCGAGGGTCTAGTACTGTAAATTTTGTGTATTTTCTCATTCGCCATTTAGGGGCGAACGCAGGTCGCAGGAAATTAATAAAGTGGCCTTGGCGTGCTGGGTCAAGACGCATGAATGGATAATAGGGCTCCAGTGAAAATATCCCTCGAGACGGATGGACCGGATGCAGAAGAACAAGCCAATACTATGTAGATGTGAATAACTGCCGTATCCTCGCAAATAAGGGGAAATTGGCGAACGATATATTTCGCTGGCTCTGCATGGGTATTTCTTACCAAATTTTGTACCAAAATAGCCATCTATTCTTGCTAATATATGTATGTAGCTTATGACCCCCTGAAAGACAGTAGCGTACCTCCCTCAGCAATAAAACAGTTTTGCCTTATCCTGCTCAACGAATACCCCTGATCCAGAGCCAAGCTCTAACGATGAAAAATTCTGGAGTATCCAACATCTAGTTCCGATAATATAGACTCTGCTCAGTTCTCCTTTTGGAACTTTTCGGGGGCTAATGGTCAGAAGCTGTGGCATCCGACGTAAATTGGAAAGCTGGGTGAACTAAATCGTTTTAAAATCCAGCGTCCGGTACAAAAAATACATTCGCATAAAGTTTGAAGGCCGTAAAAAGATTTGAGGAAGTGCTAGATGGAATTGTATCCGCATCCCATAGGCCTTGTTGCGAAGAATATGGCGGAACATTTGCATTGAGACTAAAGATAACTGTTGCATCAGACTAAGTGATTCCTCGAATCGGTTCCAAAAAAAGCTCTAAAAGTCATAATTAGAGCTCGGATATTTATGCAAGTGCAAACTTTTGTTTAACATCACTGAAAGTCCGGTCCTGGCCAGAATCTCATTATAGGAGGCAGTGAGTTAATTTGATCCTATTATGTTTTGGATATTTTCAAATATTTTGCATATTTCCTATAAATAAAGTATTATAAGCACGTCACCCTGATGAAAACCCTTGTTAACTTCACCCGCGACAAATTGACCTCCTTCTGCCTCTATCGTGATGACCTGCTGCGCCAGCATACGGTACTCCATGACGTACTGTACTCCTGTCATGCTAATAGGCCTGTAGCTTCTGTAGCTAGTATAGTCATCCTTACCAACCTTAAGTAAGTACAAAGGCGACATCAACCAGCTTCCAAGGTTGGGGTATGTAGGCAAGTGCAAGCGAAGCTATGAAAATCTTTTTGAAGGGCGCCAACTAAAGCCCAACACCTTCTTTAATACAATAGGTAGGATGCCACCAGGGCCGGGAGATTTGGGACTGTCAAAAGACTAAATAGAATATCTTAGGGCATATTCATTAGCCACAGTTCTGGCAACAAAGCAATTGTACCTTGACGTGTGGTTATCGCATAGCCTTCATCACTAGTTGAGGGAGAGGAAGACGTAATCATCACCTGATTCCCAGGAAAGTGAGTCTCTAGAAGAACAGAGTATCTCAATCCTAGTCTCCGTTAAAGAGCCATCAGGCCACTTGAGTTAACGCAGCTTTGTGGTTTGGTCCTTCTTCAGAACCTTTTCCAGCCTAGTCGTTTGACTCAAAGTTCCAGTGTTCGCAGTGTTTTTGGATTTACTAATGCTATGTTCCCACGGCACGTAATTCGCTCTTCCATTCGTAGTTGGCTCTCTACATATATTCGTAATTGACATGGTAAACAGTGAAGCCTGTCCCCCTGCGCGCAGTATTCTTTGCTCCGCAGCCTTGAGCCAATCCCAGCTAGCTTGCGAGAGGCATTTCACCACAATGGTTCCATCCCTCTCTTATGAACAAGCATTGGATACAGTGCCGGATGTAATGACGGCCCGGATCAGATGGATCTTGCAGTGTTTAATTTCCGTAGTAGTCATCTTCCGAGGCATTCAGTCTCATTGCGAGAGTTGTGTCGAATGCAAGTCGTTTTTCGAGAGTCAAATCGTATCGAAAACTTCATGTCATGCCCGGAGCTTGAACTTGAACAGTCGAACTACTGTATCATTTTCCATGCCTAGATCTACATACTTATGCTAAAGCATAAGCTCTGCTTTCCTTTACCCATTAAAGGAAATAGGAAACCAAAGGACTAGAAAATTGCTAAAAATCACCATGATTGGCAGAAAGCTTTAAGGATCAATTAATGATCTAGCTAGCCCAGCCTAAGTCTTTCGTATTTAACGAGGCTTTTTCTAGTTTAAATTTAGGCTTCTTCTAAAAAAGCTATCATGTTGTACTATTTTAGTGCATCACAGTTGATTTATATAGTAAATATTTAATAAAAAAAAAGATACAAACACTTCATAACACACTACAACAAATTTCATAATTTTAGAGTTAAATGATGAAAAGGTACGAAAGGATTTTTAAAAGTAGGTTACCATTTTTTACTTAGGTTTTAAAATGAAGATCCTAAAAAATGTTCACCAAAATTAAATCTTTTCTTAAATTTTTATAAGAACAAGTAATTTTTCTCATATAAAAATTTAAGTTTATCGTTAATTTCTTCACGATCCGATTATCGGCTCTAAAAAATTAGTATTGAATCACCCTTGAGGTCATGGGCGTAGCCAGGTAGGGGCTAGAATAAATACTAAAATTTTTCTAAAAATAAAAAACAAATAATAATTTATTGAATTTTTTTTTTCATCAACAACTTCAACTCGATATACATAGAAAAGTGGTAACCAACATTTACAAGTCCTTTGGTATATATTCATATATTGACCACCCTAAATAAATGCAATTTGTTTTATTCCCATTATTTTTTCAGTGTGCACTGTGTAATTTTCAAAGTATTTTTTTTTTGAGATTAAATAAGCAAGTCAACTCACCTGATAAGTGTGAGTAAGTTGAGGGTTATAATATCCTGTGCGCAGCGCTGTATTGCCTTGAAAGGGATAAGGTATTGATAAAGGAGCCACCTGGTATGGTATATTTCCAGCTGGTAGGGAACGCGATAACACGTAAGCTAAGTTAGAGATCAACACAAATTCCAGAAGGAATTTCTTTAAGTTACAGTCGCACGCCGTCATTTCAATTGAATAATATGATATTAATTTTTATACACAAAGAAATTTAATTTGAATTAATTAACTTGTGCCCAGTCTTCTACTATCTCTCGCTCTCTATGAAAAATCAGGCGCATTAAATGTATATAAAATGCACTTTTGTTTTTTGTTTTTGCAATCAGTAATTGTTCAATTTTCAAGCACAAAGAAAAAAAAATTTTTTTTGAAAAGCCAATAAAAGTCAATATATATTCTCTACTTTTTTAGCAATTACACATTGCATTTTTATAGCACTTTTGCTGCGGTGCACATATCCTTTTTTTCGAAAACCGAATCGCGCTTTTGACGTTAATAGGAAGCACTCGTTTTCACTTCCGTTTCCGCCTTCTTTGTTTATTTTTCGTTGTTTCACTTTTCGTTTGTATCGTACGCACTTTTTTTGCATTTGCGTGGGCTGTTGTTGGTCGTTAATGTCTGTTTTGCTTGCTTATTATTTACTAACTGCATTTGCTTCTCACCAATCGGAGCGTTAGCCCATGAATGTTCTGTTTACATTTTGCGTGCAGCGCTTTTAATGCATTTTTGTTCACCTACGACGACTGATCGCTTGCGTAATTCGGCTAGAACGTGTAAGCTGCGATTTTATGTTTTTGTTTTTTGTTTTTTGTTTTATTTGCACCGGTTATCGGTTTGGAGTTACCGTTCTACTATACGAATTAGCCACCCAACCAAGTTGACCACTGATACAGTTCTTATTTTTGGTCAAATGCTCTACGGTGCGGCGCTTACGCGTTTGATAAGCAAGCGAGTGTTTTCTTTCAATTTAATCAGCATTATAGCCGCTTCAAGCGTTCACAACTTGTTGCCGACTTTGGCGGCGCTTTACGAGCGTCAAGTTCATGACTCACAGAATTTGTTTGTATGCACTTGCGGCACACAGTGTTTCGACTATATGCAGACAGGTGGAAATAATAGTAAACCTCCACCTATTTTGGTGAAACTTGACATGTGCTCTAATTTTACTTAGAAATAGGGAATCATGAAATTTGGTAAATATGGAATAATTGCCACGCCCTCCACCCTTGTGGGCCGAAACATTAAATTTCATCCGATTTTGATGAAATTTAGTTTGTACTCTCTGTTTTATTAGAAAACCCTAAATATATAATATGGGAGGATTGCTTCACTGCAACGTCAAATATGGGCCCAGTCATTAAATGTGATGGAATTTCGGTTAGTTTTTGTTACCCGCTTTCCACTCTCAGAAAACAAAGGTTGTACTTACAAATTATATAAGTGTTCATATTCTCTTTTTCCTAATGTTTGGTGAGATTTTTCCATTGTTCGAAAAATTGTTTTCGCGAAATTATGCCAAAAGAAAATGAAATTCAAAAATTAAGAAAATCGAAAATTACGTATATTTCCAAAGTCGCGCGAAAAGATCCAATTATATATTCGAAAACTACATAAAATTCTCTAAAACCTGCGTCTAATCTCAAGACCTGACGGACCGGTACTCATATTTTTTTACTAATATTCTTTAGCATCTACATTTCAAAGTAACTTTTTTGATAAAAAAATAGGAAAATACCAAATAAATGATAAATACCTTCACCTAAATATTCCACGACATTTAGATAATTAATTACAGTTGAAAAAGAAACACTTTCTTTAATGGGTTCAGCGCCAAATACAATTAAATTGATTAGTCGGTAACGCGTCCATTCCAGTATTTTTTGGAAATATTCCGTTGGTGGAGAGAAGGGGTGAGTAAATAATGTGAGATTCTTTATTTATGACCTTTACTTTTCCCTCTCTAAGCCCAACCAATTTTTTTGTATCAAGTGTCACCATGACTTTTTTCTACCTGCCTGCATATAGTCGAAACATTGTGCGGCACTACTTTGTTGGCTAGCAATCGTAGGTGGCAAGTGTTTCGTTGCATGTAAGGAGAATTGAACCTCCTTCAAAATCATTATGAAGAAATTATGTTTTTGTTTTTGTCTTACCGGATTAAATAGTTGCTGATTTAAATCATCATATTTTTGGTCCCCTAAAATAGTTAATGAAGCATTTCGAGGGCTTATATTCAATACCCTCTATCTGCACTTTTCACAAAAATGAGATTCGGATATAAAAATCCACCTAAGACTTAACTGTTATCGGTGATATTAATGCTGACTTTGTATAACGCTTTACTATTAAATTGCAAAGTCAGAATTATCATCAGTGATGTCTGGTAAGTCCCAGATGGGTTCTAACATCACAAAGTAGTTATTGTGAAAATTCCAGAATTTTTTGAATATAAGCCCTCGATTTGTATAAAGATTTTATAAAAAGACTTTGAGTATGCATATCGTCACCGGAGGGGAAGATCGACCTATCTCGGCAGCCAGTTCGAAAACGCCTTATCTCAGAAAATTTTTCAAGAACGCCGTATTTCAGAATTTTATTGAAAAACATCCTATTTCAGAATTCAGTTCAAAAATGCCCTATTTCAGCTGAAAATACATACATTGAAAATGTGCTTAGATAGGGCGTTTTTTAATTGGAAGCTGAGATAGGGTGTTCTTCAACCGAATTCTGAGATAGGTTTTTTTTTTTTTTATAATATTCGAAATAGGGCGTTCTTTAATGAAATTCGTTCTTGAAAAGTTTTCTGACATATTTACGGCGTTTTCGAACCGGCTTTTTGTATATCGAAATCGGTTTAACACGGTTCAATGTGATCATGTTACGCAACTTTTCCGCACTATTAGAATTTCGAAATCGAAAAATTCACCGCATATCAATTTTTCTTCAATTTCGCAAGAGATGGAGCAGGGAAATGCTTAGATCCCAGCTGCCACTGTCTCCTTTTCACAGAGATGATATGAACAAGGCAGACATCTTCAAGAAGAAATTCAAAATAGGGCTCTGCAGCAAATTAACCTGAAATAACTCTATTACAGGGAAGTACAGGGATGGCCTCAAGAAAGGAACAATAAGAATTAGAGCACAGCCCATGCAAAGCACCATATGACATCGGCAAGCCAAAGACTTAATAGGGGATAAATACAACCTGAAGAAATTTCTAAGAAGAAAATGATTATTACCACAACCAACCCCATGGGGAACTGCAGGCTAAAGAACATCTGCATAAGTTAGAAATCGGGTCAAATGATCTCTCTCGGTTCAGCGGTTCAGCTAAGAAGGCACCACCTCACCTGCTTCTTGAGTGTGTGCGCAGTGTCGAGACGACGAGATAAATATATAAATAGGTTCAAAATGGCCGAATGATGAGCATATACCTCCAAAACTCTTCTGAACTTTCTGGTGACTGCAGGACTATTTCTAATTTCTGCTGTGTGTCATTAACTTGAACTGGTTTATTATTAGTTTGCATTTCGTTACATTGAAGGTATATCAACTTCATTTTGTTGTTATGAAAAATTGTTGGCGAAGACGCAAAGCCAAACCGATTTTGATGGGGCATCATATTTCAAGCCACTACAATTCATTGAACGCGATTAGAACTCGTTTGCTTTTGTAATAGTACCACTTATGTGTACTGTGTGTGACTGAATGAACGTACCACATTCATGCACACACAACTTTTTTTCAATTAGTTGTGCTTTGGAGCCAATCTTTTACTTTACGTAATTAAAATAGACTCTTCGAAAGAAACCTAAGAACCATTAGTTGAAGATAAAATTATTTAAAATTTTTCTTTAGTTAAACATCGTGCGCTATTACATAAATAGAAGCACCTTCAAACTGTGGGCCATTGTCACGACTACACAGAGAGAAAAAAACCAGCTAATAAAATAGAACAAACTTTATAAGATATGTTTATGGTTTTTCTTCAAAAAATGTTTTTTTGGTATCGACAAGCAAAATATTATATCGAGCCCTAACCAACAAAAACACGTAAGAGACATTTTTTTTAGAATTCTTTCTGATGCAGAAATGTTCCTAGAGAATCCATGTAGATGCATTTCAACATCAGAAATAAAATTTTGAAAAAATATCGCATACTATTTTGGTCTATTTGGTGCTTAAGGCTCGATATGTTCAAAAGAAACAAAATCAACAGGCAATTCTTTATATTTTTATTAGGTAACCTTATTAAAATCTAAAAAAAAAATAGGAAAAAATTCCGCTGACCGACATCGACCCGGAAACGTACTGAATGGCAGCTTACAGTTCTACAAATTCGGCTACGGAGGCCATCATATCCACAGTATTTTATATAATTACTAGCCGCTGACAGTGGTCCGCGCATTCGTTTCAATCGGCAAATGAAAATAACACTGAAGGAATTTAGAGATATCATCCTATCATCCCTCTATTGTTTTTAATTAGATAAGTTAGATGACAGTATTTTGTTTCTTTAAGAAAATTAAGTAAAGAGCGTTATCTGGCAAAATATATAAATCGATCGATTATTTTTATTTCGATTTGAATAGATTCAAAAAGTGATTTTTTATTTCGATCTGCCATCTCTAGGACTGAGTAAACAATTTAGAAGTAAAGTCCTCTCTCAACGTACGAAAACTACACTCTATAAGTCACTCATCAGGCCAGTGCTGGTATATGGCGCAGAGGCATGGCCATGACAACATCCTATGAGACAACTCTTGGAGTATTCGAGAAAAAGATCTTGCAGAAGATTTACGTGTCTTTACGCATTGGCCAAGGTGAGTGTAGTGTAATTAATTAAAATACATTACAGCGGCAGCGCTGGCTTGGGCATGTCGTTTGAATGGACACCGACGCTTCAGCTCTGAAAGTATTCAAATCGGAACCCGCGGAATTTGCGGCCCATGGTTTTACATACAACATATGTACATACGTCTAAATATGATGGAAAACGGTTCTCCGCAGAGTGGGCAAATTAGCTTACTAAATAATTTTTTGTAAGAGCAGAATTTTATTGCTGAAAATTACTACTTTTTGTTCTATGTGAATACAAACTAAACTAAAAACTCCCACAAAGGGTAAACATTTTCACGTTATGGCATCACTCATTGTAGTATAGGATT